GCAGCAAGGTGTGATCCTGTGTGTCTCAATGGTGGTTCCTGTACTAAGCCAGATGTTTGCCTCTGTCCACATGGATTCTTTGGTGCCCAGTGTCAGAATGGTAATATTTTTTTTTTCTTGCCCTCACCCCTCAGCTGCCATTATGGGACAACATGTGAGACAACATTAAAACACAAAATTAACAATCAAGTCATGTGCCTGAGACGTGGTGCAAAACAGATATTATTATTTATTTTTAATAAATATTATTAAAATATTTATAAAATATTTTAAAATAAATATTTTTAATTAATTATTAGTCAATAAAAATTATTAAATTAATAATATGTTATTATTATTTTTTAGATTTTATGACTGATTCAATGAGTGTCCAAGGAGAAGGACGACTCAAAATTTGTCTTGTCTTCCACTCAATATTTGAGCAGCAGTCAATTAGTTCTAATTGGTGGAATGTATATTTGGTGTAGCTTAGTTACTCATGTACACATACAGTTGTCAGTCTTGACCCCTTTTTATCTGATTTTGCCTTTACTATTGATGTTGGCACCAAACCACATTAATATGATTTTCACAATACTGGCCTGATAGTGCTGAGCATCTATACAAGATGTCAGGATCTTAGTGTTTCTCTGTTGTTTCATAGAAGTATATCACTGAGTCAAACAAAATGCAAACTACAGCCTTTTCCTCCTGTTTCTGTTTTTTAGCTATTTGCAGCCCGCCTTGTAAGAATGGTGGTCATTGCATGAGGAATAATGTCTGTACTTGTCCTGATGGGTACACAGGTGGAAGATGTGAAAAAAGTAAGCCAGTGTTAAAATCCTTCCAGGATCCAAAAATAACCAATAAATTATTCTGTAATCAGTTAAATGTATTAAATAGCACATGTTTTTGATTTTAAGGCATCTGTGAGCCAAGGTGTATGAATGGAGGAAGATGTGTCGGCCCAAACATTTGCTCTTGTCCTTCAGGATGGAGAGGAAAAAGATGTGACACTCGTAAGTCCTTTGTAGTTAACAGGAGAACCATACCTTAAAAGTAATATATGATTTAAGGTAACTCTGTCCACACAAGTAATAGGAAGTTAGTGAATATACACACATTGAAAAAATAGTAGTCTGTAGCTTGGAAGCAAAATTTAGTATGGAGAACTAATACCATCCAGTTCTTAGGCTAAATCATGAGACCAAAATATCTTTTAAATTCTTGTATAGCAAATATTATCTTTCTTAATTCTTGTCTAAATAAGAAACATCTGTATTTCTGCAAGGAGCTGAGTTCAATAAAGTGAAAGAAATCCAATTTGTGCCGTAGGAAATAAAAACAGATAGAAAAAGTTCAGTGAAAGATGGGAAAACTGTGGAAACAGTGTGAAGCAATTGAAATAGAAGATGCAATGAGCACAAGCTCTTTAGGACAGGCAGAAATAGGACTGTGATGGTAGAACATCTGTGGGTCGCATTGTATCTTAATGAAGATACTGATGGTGCATAAAGAAAATCTGTCAGCATGGATAAAAGCACAATCTGCATGAAAATCAGCACAGGGATGGGTGGTAGAAATCCCATAGCTAAAGTGATAGTGTCTGTCATAGTACTCACCCGAGGCTCAGGAACTGATGTGGGCAATGAGCTCTCTAATGGCACAGAGGAAAAACAATTTTCCCTGTATTACTTTCTGTAAAGGTTTTTTTTTGTTGAAAAAAACATTACCAGTATTAACAGGGATGAGATATTCTTGGACACTGTGGAAGAGAGATTTGATTATCGAATAGGCATCTAATGAATGGAAATAATAGTGGGTTAGATTATGGTTTAATAAGCATGGACAAATGTGCAGAAAAATGGGCCACAGAAAATAACTTTGGATCAAATGTTCATGAGTTGATTCACCATGTGTTCAGTTGCATGACAGACAAAAGATCTCTCACCAAGTTGTGGGGTTTAGAAAGGTAAATTTGGAAAAAACCAAAGCTATTTAGCGTACTTCAGGCTTTTGTAGCAACCTGTGATGCTGCAGAACATCTTGGCCATAGGGCTTTTTGTTTCCAGTTGCCTCTCTTCTTTAATATCCTGTTGATCTTAGATAGATATTTCAGTGAAGATGATGTGACCCTTGTGTATGAAAAGCACTCAACCTCTCATGGACATCCTGAAATCTGAGTCATAAGTCAAAGTAATCACTTGGAATTTAACCAAACTTTGTGATGATGTTTGTGCAGCGATCTGTCTTCAGGAATGTAAGAATGGTGGGGAGTGTATTGGACCGAGTACATGTCATTGTCCTCCACAGTGGGAAGGAATCCAATGTCAAACACATAAGAATGATGTGATCTGAAACCTCTTGCTTCAGCACAGTTCAGACTGCACAATACAGACATATGCAGAGCCTTGAAGTCCTATACCTTGGTTGTATTTTACCCTAATCTGTGTCAAAGGCAGGATAAAGAACAGAGATTCCTCTGCCTGTTCTGAAGCCCTCCAGGATATGATGGCAGTGTGGGACCATGGCAGCATGTGTTGGCTTGCTCTAGTACTGTACACTGCTGTACCAGCTCTGAGAGGCCATTGCAATAGCTTGAAATAGTAAGATGCATTAAAAAACACCTTACTCGTGTTCCTTACTCAGTCTCATTCATACCCTTGGCATGTTCTCATGTTAAATCTGCATCAAAGCATGAAGGGGAGGGGATGGGCATAAGAACTTTGTTGGTTCCACATGACCTTTAAGTCTCCTTATGCTGAGGGGTGTTTCCTTGAGAAAATACTGACTGAGTTCTTGGCTCCTATAAGCAAACAGAGTAAGTGTATAGAAATAGTAGCCACTTTTCCTCCACCAAGGTGTTTCGATGAATAAAGCCACATATCTCTTGTTTTAGCTGTGTGCATCCAGAAGTGTCTGTTCGGAGGCAAGTGTGTGTTGCCCAATGTATGCTCTTGTCGTCCAGGTTATACTGGAGTCATCTGTGGGAAGAAAATTCAGGTACATGTGAAGTCAAGATGCCATCACAGATACAGTGATTTGGGAGTCATTATCTAGCACACTCTTGTCCAATGAAGCAGCACAATAAACACCAAATGTGTATTTCGTCTGATTTCTCCCTTTCGGTCTTCAGTGAGGGCAAGCTAATGAAATCGCTATGAGCTATTCCAGAAAATTTTAGGCTTTAATATTAAAAAAATTGTTCCTAACACCTAATGTACATTTCCTTCAAATTAAGCTGATTATCTCTTGTCATGCAGCAGGGATTGGTAACTATCCTCTTCACAACCCCTATTGTCTCTTCCAGCATCTGGCCCCATTTTAGGGAGAAGTGTCCCACTGCTGGCTTTCTTAGCTTGTGTCAAGTCAAGCTCTGATCTTTTCCCAGCTAACTGCATTGCCACTCAGTTCATCCCTGTTTTATACAAATGTTCCTTATACCCAAGTGTAACTTGAGAATTTACTTTTTTGCATCATAGGGTATGATGACAATATCCCATTTTGTCACCCAATTTTCTGTTGGATTCCCTTGCTTGAGTTCTGACAGTCACTCACTGAAGTAATTTAATGAAACATTTCCTCACAAGTAACTTCTTTGTGACATGTGAAGTAAAAGTAGGCTCTTCTTCTTTTCTGGTGCCAGCAGAATTGAGAGATGGGACAGATGTGTTTCAGAAATTGAAGGAGAGAAATGCTCATATGTATTTTGAAAATATAAAACTACACATCCTATGACAATAAAAGACTATTTTTTGCAATATGGGTTTCCAAAATGGGACCTAAAGAGAGGAATATTTTGATTTAAATGTTTACATAAATATGACTGCAAAGCATTAATATATTTTAATCTAGGAAATATATATTGCTGATCAGTCAGACAGTGTGGTATTATCAAAATGGCACATTTTCTTTAAGAAACAAAAGAGCTATGGGCACAAGTTTAACTTACATTGTGATTGTGTATCAGGAAAGCAGAAACTCATTGATAACTTTATCGTAAACACAGGCTGCATCATTAAAGTCTGGTTTTAATTTATTTTTCTCTCTCTCCAAGGTACAAAGGCATCATGACTGAAGAAGTGTATCAATTAAATTGTAATGCTTCGTGGATGTATGAGACTTGAAAAAAAAAAGGCAATTACAGAGTTTATTTAAATGAAAGGAATATTCAGAAGCGTTATTTTAAAAGATTTGTATTAGTCACAAATATTCAAAACAACAATCTTGTAGTCATTAAAGCATATGTATATTTATATAATTTTTTGCTACCTCATGCACAAACCCCACAGCCTCTGATGTCTTCACTGGACTTACGGATCTGATGACTGATGCAAACACAAAATTCTGCAGTTTGTTGATGCAGTCAGCTGGACTATGAGATTCCCTTTGTGGGGATAAGACTGTAACAGCTGCTGAGTGTTTCCAGCAAGGAAGGCAGCACTGCAGCACTTCCTGAATGGTACCTTCTGTTTTTAAACACTGTTTACATTACGTATTACTTGGCTGCAGACAGAAGAAAAAGCAGAACTATGTTTTTCTTCTCTTGTATTTGCATCATTCTTGGTATAATGACAAGCCAGTAGGGAGGAAGGAGGGGGAACCTGAACTGAGGCTGGGCTACTAGCAGTGGAGGCTTCCTTCCTGTCTTGTTAACAGTCAACCAGATGCAGAACGGCTCTTATTTTATCTATGACAAGCCTTTGTAGCCAGAAGCCAGATACCAGCTCTTCTGTTTTGACTTCCTTACTTACACTTATAAATTTGAGTACCCAGCTACTGAATTATTGCTGTGTCTGTAAGACTTTAGGCCCCTCCTTTGAGATAGCATTCAGTAATACAAGGAAATTTTGTACCCAGGTCTCTAGGAGAAATTTGACAATGCTTTTAGCAATGCTGATTCTTAAAATGGGAACTAATAAGCAGAGAAATTTGTTGTATATATGCCATTTGTACACATCATGTCAGAAAGTATTTGTAAGGGCTTCTTAGAGGATTTCTTTCCATAACCTATTGATTCAATGAACTGTTAGTACCAGCTGCCAGGTAGTTTTTGAACAAATAAAATTCCATTTTTTCCTAAATTTCCTACAGAAGGCTGCTACCTTCTCCTAGAGCTGTTAAAGACATTTCAGTTCCCACCACAACAAACTTGAGTTCTAGTAAAAGACACAAACACCCATTTACTTAAGCCATTCAGATTTACTGTTTTATTTTGTTTATTTTAGACCAAAATTAAACATGACTTTCTGTTCTTCTGAGCAATATTTAGTTTACATGTTCTAATTCTGAGCAGGAAGAAAATAAGAGCTCATTTTGCCATTTACTGCCACTCTGGGATGCTGATTGCCAAATCACAGCTTTTAGCAGCTCTGTGCCTAGATTTCTCCTCACCTTTTGATAGTCCTCTTAAGTCATTTTGCAAAGTAAGCTGGCAGTTTGAGAACTCAGCATCATTCCAGAATTATACCTGATGGATTTCCAAGTGCCTGAGTCGTGTATTTAAAAAATATTTTCAGTTTCCCACTTGCATTTTAAATGTCAGTGTTTCCATAGTTTCTTTCACTCAAGTATGCCAGTGGCTGATAGCTTGTTAATCTGAGAACTATTCTGTTATTTAAAAACTTTCTCACATCTCACAAAAGATCTCGATGAACAAATTCTGAGTAGCTCTTGGAACTGATGCCTCAGGATGATGCTCTGAATACACAAGGTTCTGAAAATGTTTTTAAAGTGCAAACACCTCAGTATCACAAAATCTCATATTGTAATCACCCCTGTTCCACATGTCAGTTACAGAGGTACTGTGCTAAAGAGAAAGAACATCTGCCTGGAACACTGCTAATAGTATTTTGGTTAATGAGTTTCTGCAGCCCTCTGTTCACAAAACTTAATATGTATATATGCATTTCTAGGATTTCAGGCTGAATAAAAGGGTTTTTAATCATCACTTTTAGTATTTTCCGTTTATTTTCAATGGTTCTAAAGGCAGAAATTATTTTTGTTTACATTTTCCAAACACAAGCTGTGTGAACAAAAGCATATCCAGAATTTTGCTGTAGTAGCTTAAAATGCTCAGTGCTAAGCTGTGCTATTTTCCAGCAAACACATGGTGCAGAAAAATTACTAGTACATGCAAGAGGCCAGACAGCTACTTCAAAACTGTCCAGTAATTATGTGATTAGTTGAAACTATTTTGTTACTAGATTGTCCATCATACACAAGAAACAGAATTCACTGTAATTAGAAAGCACATTGCAACAACGCAGCAAAATTGCTAAGTGTAGCAAGAAGAGGCAGAAGCATAGCGAGTGCTTGTGTACTGAGGTTAACAAAACTGTTCCAAACTTGCAATCTGAAATTAAGCCCCAAAGATTTAGGGGATTTGGGACGGGGAGAGAAGGGTTGCACAGTGCTGGAGTTGACACAGTTCCTGTCTGACAGAACAAATGGCCACTTGTGCCAAACTGAAGATCTTGCAGTGACCCTCAGCACACTATGCAGAACACAGGCATCTTCACTGAATTTTCTTGCATGATTTCTTTAGACACTGAAGAGTGCTGTAAGTACCTATGTACATCATCCATTTATTACCAGGTTGTACAACAGTTGCTCTTCAGGCCAAGTGCAGATTGACTTTTGTCCCTGATCTTAAAAAGATCTTTAAAATGCAGTACAATTAATGATTTCTGAAGGAAGGACTCGTATCACAGGAGATACCACAGCCAGCCGTGTTGGCTGTGATTTAAAAATAAAACCACAAGTGGGCCCCATGAGAAAGGCTCTTTCTTTTTACAAAAGTTAATTACATATTCTCAGGGCTGTGAAGAGAAGCAAGTTAACATTTCCATTTACAAAAAACAAACTTATAAAGAGGAATCAGCACAAAAGTAAAATAGGTATAAAAACTGAAGCTACTTGAGAAATTGGTTACATCGACTTCATTACTTGTCCAAATGGGAAGTTACATAGTTTAATTCTCAATAAAATGTAACATCTGGGTAGATATACAAAACCAAACATAGAGGTTAGAAAGTGTTACTAATGACTAAAGATGTTTATGCTGTTTCTGTCACATAAAGGTGTCACATGGTGGTGTTGGGTCATTTTATCCAACTTCCGCCCACAGCTCTGTTTAGCCAGTAAATGATATTTTATAGATAAACTACTTAAATCAATTCTTGTAACAAGCACTTATTATTAAATGAGAAAATATAAATGGTCAAATGTGAGTGCAGGTAAATTAGAAAGAAGAAACACTTTTCACATTTCCATGCACACTCTAAAAAGACAGAGTGTGAGAAATGCAACCAGTGCAATATCCCTACAGTTTTTCCAGTTGTTTATAGTGAAAACCAGAGCATCCTACTAACTACAGTTACAATTAACAAGTAAGAGAGCTAATATGTTCTGTATTGTTTTTCTTTGAGCTGCATGCATGACTCACTTCCCACAAAAAGACACATCCGTTTCCAAAAACTACATTCTGTAACTTGTACATTCAATCCTCCAGCAAGAGGAAAACAAACAAAAGACAAGAATTACTGGCAATTCTTTTAGTAAATATATGTGGAATGTGGAAATAATGTGGGGACCTGGACTTTCACTATTAATCTCACTTAAAATTTAATTGAATTATAAAAATAAATCATACTTCTTAACAGAATAAACAAAGAAAGACCCATGAAAAACCCTGTAGCCAGTAGATGGTGCTACATTCAAGCACTATTTCTAAAATATGACATTGCTTTCTGTGCGCTGTCAAACTACTGCTTACTTATTTATGTCATTTCTAAAGAAGAAATTAATTAAATCAGCATTTATTTTGGCCTGCTCAGAAACACCAATTACACATCTCACTGACTGCTCATTTTACTCCTAATAATGTCAAGATCTCTTCCAGCTTCTAGTCACCATTATTGCCAGTTTTGTATGTACAACTAGAAGTCAGTCTTTTGGGAATAATACTGAGGCAGGCCACTTTGTATTTACATAGTCCTGCTCATTTACTCTGAATCTTTGGTCTGATGTAAGTAATTTTTTCCACTTCACCCCCCCTGCAACCAGTATGCCACCTAAGGTATTCAACTCCTGAATTTCTGAATTATGGCATGATTATTATAATGAACTCTGACATTAAATTTCATCATCACCAAATCAAGCCTACTTCAGAACCACTGATGAAATCATCTTGTTTCACGCATGAAAATAACTTTTTTTACTAGCAGGTGTGAAATAGCCAGTGTATCACAGTAAAAGCAGCACATAAAACATGCACTCCTCTTATGTGGTACTCTGTCTCTGGGAACAAATCCTGCACAACATGCCTGTAGCATGTTTTGTCTGAACTAAATGCAACAGCCTCCAAAGCAAGGGCAGAGGAAAGCTCAACTGTGCCACACAGCAATTGCTCGTAACAAGAAATCAAGAGTGTCATGAACTACACTCTTGCGTTTCATTTGCTCCCTGCATACTTGGGTTCTCTCTTTTAGTGAAGGCTGGTAACTGAGAACACCCCATTACCCTTGCCTTTTTGCTCAGTGGCTTGTAATCCCTGGAGAAACATGCCCATAATAAGTCACTCTGCCCATGAGATCTACTGCACGTTCTGGTGAGAGAGTTTATACATAAATTAATACGTTATTCCAGCAAACGGACTAAAGTAATGCATTACTAAAATTCTCCCACCAAAAATTCCAGTTTCACCCAGAAGACAATAAAAACCAATCTATCTCAATAAAAATAATTGGTCTGAGCATCATTCAGAAAGTTGACTGATTCAACTCACGGGTTTCGGCAAAACCTTCCTCAACTGCAGCATTCAAGTAACAGCACAAGTGAGACATGGAACAATGGACATAGGAGTCTCAGCCCAACATGCAGCCTGATCAAAAGGCTGCAAAATCTAAATAAGGCCACACGGGAATACCTCCAGAAGGGAGGCCTCAACATGTTCCACACAGGTGATTTGTGACAGGCACGGCTTTTCCTCCCTGGCAGTCTGTAGCCTCCTGATGTCCTATAACAACACAGTCTTGAATGGAAAAGAATTATCAATGTCTCCAGAAAAAAAACACATTTCCCTATCTCACTGGGTTAAGGAGAAGAAATAATTGGAAGTTGAGAGATGATCAGATAATATGACTGTAGAAGTGGTCAAGATAAGGACTCTTTTAGAGTATCAGTATGGATTAAGCTTTTAGAAAGTAACAGCAGAATTGTTTCAATGAGTATTGTGTTTCTTTGGTTTTAGTGTAGGGTTTTTTTTAAATACTGCTTAACTGATCAAGATCCAGATCTGACTGGGGGGAGGGTCAGGAAGCAGACATAAAGTGATAGCCAGGATTTAAATAAGATGCTTTGCAGAGTGGTAATGTTCCAAAAAGATGCAAACTGCAAATTTTGTCTTGCAACTGTTTAATCTCATTGAAGTGAAATTATCATTGAACTAACATCCACTGCTGATGATCTGAGCTGAGGGCTTTTTGTTTCATTTGCTTTTTAAAACACACGTAAATAATAGAACACAATAATTCTAATCAAAGGGGGAAAAATCAAAAACTAGAGAAGAGACCTATTCTGAAGTACTTGATTTGAAGAACAAATTTTATTTCAAGGTTAGCTGTATCAACCAAGACATAACACTTCTGCTTATTAAGAAAAAATGAGAACAGAAGAAAATGTACCATACACTACACACAGTTGAATACTTAGAACAACTTAGTTACAATCAGCAATACTTTCATATAGAAAAGCATTTACTTAATATAGTGAGGACAAAAAGCTATTTGAAATTAGTTAGTTACCATGTTTATTTTAAGGTCCCCCACTTCTGCAGACTTCATCTCTGGATAGTTACGTAAAAAAAAAAAAAAAAAAAAAAAAGAAGGAAGAAAAACCAACAAAGCAGTTTATCTTTGCTGAAGTTGCTTCATTCCTTCCTTTTCTTTGTGCACTGCAGACCAGAGTATGGCAGTCGACATCTGCACACGTTTGGAGCTATGCACTTCCCTCCATGTTGACAGGGTAGTTTACATACAGCTGAAATGAGACACCAGATACACAGTATGTCTTCAGCACAATACAGGATTATTTTTCTTCTCGCTGTGGTAGCAGAATTGTTCCCTGGTGACTGCACGGGGACAGTATAAATAACAGCATAATGGAAGAACTGAAAAGCAATGCCTCTCAATTTATGGCATTGTGGCCTTCACTGGAATACAGGCACAGTATGTCTAGTCTTATTCATGCTCCATTTCCCTTTTAAAATACTATAATTTCTGTTCTTTAAGGCACAGGCTGTTTTTGAGATGGATGCTTCCATGAAAGTGAGAGAACCATAAAAATTCCTGCTGAAAATTTAAGTGAGTTCTTGGATCCACATCCATAAGAAAAACAGGCATCACTTTCTGTTCCACCATAGGAAGGGCAGGAAAGGGCTGAGCTTCAGCTGTCCCCTAGCTACACATCAATTCAGTTAACAAGCCAGGGGCTGCAATTTGCTTATGAGCATCTGCACCAACAAAAGTCAAACTTGATGCAGATCTACTTAGTTTAGGAACAGTGATTTTGACATGAAGAACCTGATCACTTCTACCACTATTGCAGCTGCAGGGAATGGAGCTAAGCATTTTGCAAGTTCTTTGCATCTCCCACAGCTGGCTTTTAATATCACCCTCTATTTTAAGACGCTGACAAATACAAAGGATAAGGATTTGCATGGTCAAAGCATTATTTGTTAATGTTTGCTTGAATATATATATATTGCAGAAGAACTAACACTAGCCGATTTAGGATTCCTACAGCCACACAAAAAATTCAAGTGCAGAGGACTTAATCCAGAGACCTTGCATCCACGATATCCAGTTTAAAAGCTTTTAACATCAGGGCAGTGCTGCTACAAGCATACAAGGCCCAAGAAGGGTTGATTAAAGACTTTCTATTAATTTGCTTTTGTGAATCAAAATTTGTAAAAATACCAGTGTTTGTTCAGCAAGAGTGTCAGTACTAATACTGACTACAGGCAGCTTTCTCTTACTCAGAATTCTAAGAGCACCTGGAATTGGTTCTGCCAACTTACCCTCAAAGTCAGAATTAAGTTTCAGTTTTGAATGTCCATAAAATTTAATGAAGTTCTAACCTACACCAGTAGCAATAATATTTCTATAATGGCCATTTTCAGTTCTTTATTGTAGGGTCTCGGCTTATAAAAAATATTTCAGAAATACTGACAAGACATACCAAGAAATTTATTTGGTGGCAACCAAAATCTGAATCTCGGTCAAAGTGGAAAAATTCTGTGGTTTTGACCAAATTAAAAAACTGTCTACTCCTTATGCATACTTGTAAGAGCCCCAGTATGCAGAAGCAGCTCTCAGTTACTATATTAAGATACTTCCCTAGAAGTTTTGTTAGGCACTGAGGATTTGAACACTATATTGGTAAATCAAATAAGCAGAGGAAAGGATAAACGAAAAATGTCAGAAGTCATTTACCTAAGTGACATGCTCCACCGACCCATCCAGCTGGACAGCTACAAATCCCAGGAGCCACACAAGCTCCATTATTACGACAACCTTGAGGACAAATTGCTAGAAGAAAAAGGATGGATAAGTCAGCAGGATTTACAAAACTGATATAGAAGGATCCTGACAGAATGAAAGATTCAGGATGATACAAATCAAAATAGCAAAACACATTTTCTTCCAGGCCAGATACTCAGCTGGTATAACTCCAAAGGCATTTCCAGGATCATGAAAATGGGAAAAAAAGTACTTACTTATTGTGCTACAATTTTTGGTTTAAATCTTAACAGATGTACACCTGATAAAAATAACTTTACCCGATTTTATCTGGTATGTACCATTAATGTATGTCACTCATTTGTGTAGTAGTGCAATGACATTTCCATAGTTATTAGTCTCTTAATACTTTTAAAATGGTTTTGTTACTGCAGTTCTATTTTTAATCAATTCATGAGCGCAGATACCCACCTTCTTGGCATCTTGATCCTGTCCAGCCAGAAGCACAAAGGCACTTCACAACTCCATTCACAGAGACACATTCCCCACCATTCTGACAGCCTCCTTCACAGCTTACTGCAGAAGACAGCATAAGCCGTGCATTTCAGAAGCAGCACAGGACTTCAAACAATTATCTTTAAACAGGTGGTCTAGCATCAACTACTTGTTTTATCACATCTGCAGTGACTTTTCAGAGCAAGGCACAGTTCTCTAAGGGATGAGTGAGGATGACAGAATCACAACTGCAAATGTCACCTCAGAAAGCAGTTAAAATTAGGCATATGCTTAAAAGCTTATTGAGCATTTAGCCTGAGAGTATTATTGCTGTGGCACAGCTCCTCCCCTCCCCAGCTGTGAGCCAACTGCTCATCAGCTACAACACTGTTCATCAGCTACACCACAGGAACTACTGACATGCATATTCATATCAAACTTGCCAAATCACAGCTGCTAAGCCAAGAACATGTGGTCAAGGATGTACATATTTCCTTACCTGACAGGACCTACATGTAACAAGAGGAAGAAGAGAAATGGATATTACTTTGACAAATGAACCTAAGCAGTGCCTTCCTAAAGGCCAAATATCTAAGCCAGCCTCCTCATTCCAGAACTGTTCTACACATCAAAGCCCTGCAGGCTTCATTAATGAAGCATTATTTATGCCAAACATATGATTGGTATCAACTGTGGTGAGCAACACCTTTGAAAAGTGGCACAATCACTCTTCTGTGCAATCAAATGCTTCCTTTCACAAGCATGAATGTAAATTATACACCACCCTCACTGCATTGAAGAGGAACAACTATCCTTCATTATAAAGATGGACAAATGGGATGTCTGTTTGATAATTTGTACGTAAAGAAAAAGGCCAAATTTCTGTTCAACCACAAGTTTTGAGCTAATAGATTTTTGGCACAAATACTGAACATGCAAGGACAAGCAAGTCAACTCCAGAATAGCTGGAAAAGCTCTTCAAAGCTTGTTTGCATATTTCTTTGTCACATTATATATGTTAATGTATTTAATATTGATTGTATTTGATCGATTTTGGAAACTAGAAAAAGTGCCTGAAGACTGGATGAAAGCAAATATCACTCCAATCTTCCAGAAGGGCAAGGAGGACCCAGGGAACTGCAGGCTGATCTGCCTCACCTCAATCCCTGGTAAGGTAATACAAGAACTGACCCTGAAAACCCATTTCCAGGCACATTAAGGAAAAGTAAATCACCAGGAATAGTCAGCAAGGCTTCACAGAAAGGGTAACAAAGTTCTGGTAGAGATTGCCCTGGGAAGTTGTGGAGTCTCCATCCTTGGAGATCTTCAAAAGCCATCTAGACATGGCCCTTGGCAACTGGCTATAGGTAGCCCTGCTTGAGCAGGGAGGTTGGAAATTATGACCTCCAGAGGTCCCTTCCAACCTCACCCATTCTGTGATTCTGTGTGATGCTGTAATAGCACACTGCCCCACACACAAGTTAGTACAAGGTGAACACAAGCCTCACCTTTGCCTTACAGGGATAACATGATAACAGAATCACAGAATATTTTGAGTTGGAAGGGACCAACAAGGATCACTGAGTCCAACTCTTAAGTGAATGGCCTGTACAGGGATCAAACCTGCAACCTTGGCGTTATAAGCAAATACAAGAAGGACTTTTATTCAGATACAAATCCAAGTCCAGGCTGTAGTATCAGCATAAACTGAATCCTCACTCTGCATTTTCTATTTAAGTAGTACCACTCACTTTGTTTCTGATTTAGACTCTTGCGAGAATATCAAATTCCCCTTCCTTGGGGGGGCCCTGTCAAGATTTCACAAAGCTACACCTTCAGTTGGCTTTTGAGTAATTAAAAAAAAAAAAAAAAGTTAAAAATTCTTTTGCTCAAAAATTAAGCTGACCATGCTCCAGTTTGCCTCTTCGCTGTCAACACTGTTATGTCTACTCATACTGCATAGTTCTTTCCCAAAGCATTATGTAACAGTACTGTGTTATACAGATCTTCATCAGAAGATACTTTCTCATCTTTTCTATTCCTCTATAATGTTAACAATTTTGATATGAAATTATTATCACTGGTAGCTGAATTCCTATTCAGTCTAGTTAACGTCCCAGAGCTATAGTTTAAGCTTCTGCAGACTTAGACAGATGTCACCCATTAGGTACTCAGCTCACATTTCCTTCATAAAATATCAAATATAGCTTTATGAAAAAAATAAACAAACAGAAAAACCCCACCAAGCCCCAACAACCCATCAAGAACAAGGCAGAAAGCTGCAGAAGCTAGCTGAGTTCCTTCCCCAAGTACCCATTAGGTTACATTCCAAGTAAACTCTCGGCAGTTATTACACATTTGAAGGACATAAAGAAAATGCCCTCAAAATAAACATCAAGCATAAACAGAGAACCCTGTGAGGTGCTGCTAGCTGCTATGACCGCAGTGAGATAGAATATTTATTAAGTTCTCAGCACACTAACTACTGTCCAACTAATTTACCAGTGTCCTTTCAAAAAAAATTTCTAAAAATTTTTAGGTGCCACATTGAGGCTTTTCTTCTGAAAGGAAAGAAACACTTCCTTTTTCCTTCCCTTTCTGGAAATATCTTGCCTACTATATAATTTTTCCCTAAAACTATTTCAAGTTTGCTTCCCCTTTTCTTCCAGAACTTGAGTTATCAGTATTCTGATCAGTTCGTAACAGCATAACAATGTTTTCTTGGATTGCCTTTTCCAAACCATGCATATATTAAATAGGCTTCACAAAACCATAAAAATTGATCTTTGCTACTCCTCATCTCTGTCATCTCCTATTACCTCTCAACAATACACTGACACACGTATCTTTAGTGGCTTGCCCTCAGTATTACAACCTTGCAGATACTACACAAAGGTTTCAACTACTTAATGCAGAAATATGGGTCTATACAAGTCATCTCACTAAATTATTTAGGAAGAATCTGTTACAGAGATAAATAGAATATTTATGTAACAGATAAGCTTGGTATTTTCCAAGTGAAAAAAACTGCTCAGATTCTCCCAACACATTTCAGTAGATGTACTCCATCCCATCCTCCTGCAAGCATGCAGATCCTCTAGGCCATGCATGTCTTGACAGCAGGGTCAGAGGTTTACAGAATAAAGGTCATTATTTCAAAGTGTATTAGATCCAGGACTTGAGGAGCCCCAAATTAATTTAGTCTGTCTTCAAACTCCTTGTCTTTCAAAGCTACCACTTTTTTATGTCTTACTCACCTTTATGACAGTATCTACCTCCATACCCAGGTGGACATCTGCATTTTCCAGGTCGGAGGCACTCCCCACCGTTTTTGCATTTTGGATAACATGTAGCTGTAAGATAGACAATAAAGAAAGCTTGGATAAATATTGATGAAGACTACTAAAGTTATTACTTAAATACATAAGAAATTTACACATTAGTATATTTGCATAAGTTATCTTCATATTTCCTAAGATATATTTGTCATGTCATCTTACATTGCTGATCAGGTGAAATAACTTCCCTGTACAGAGAACGCTCCACCCTATTAAGCTTTTAAACACTCAGAACTAAGGAATATTTTGGATCCTAGGTAGAACAGGCAGCAGAAAGATCCACATTAAAAAGGAATGAAGGAACACATCTGGACTGCCAAAAAAGCTTTTGATAACTGAAGTCAATAAATGACAAGTGAGAAAACAGGTCATAGGAAGAAAGGGTTTAATAAAAAAATGCTACAATTTCAGTGGCATCTTCTGATTCTTAAGATGAAGTATCCGACTTTTTCCTCTCTACTGGATTCCTACATATCTGAGTTGCTTGTGTACCTCTCAAAAAAACCGACATGTTCAATTCCTTACACCTCTTCTCTAAAAAGTCTCCAGAAGTAAGTCAGCATTCCTTTCTCCCCCACCCGCTTTTTTTTTTTTTTTTTTTGCCCTCAGCTGGCCTCTCAGGGACCTTTCTGAAATGTACAGTGTTTAGTTTAGAAACCATCTGAGATACACATAACTTTTTTCATAATTGTAATTATCTATTGTGAGAAAAGCACCCATGATCATCACAGATCCTGCAACTTTTTCACTGCTGACAGCTTGGACAGATTGGATAAGGTGCAAATAAACATTTTGATTTTGCAAAATTCTGGATAAGTCCAGTCAGATTGCAAATAAATTATCTATCACATAGACCTCCTTGCTACTCATAATCATTCCTGAATCAGCCCTGGTGTCTGCGAAAACATTTTTTTATTCACACACAGATTTTAGAAACCCACATGTTTCTGAAACTGTCATCTGAGTTAACTGCAGTTCTCTACATCACTTTGCTTTATCCTTTGACTAGATGGGTGAAAAGTTTGAAACAGAGGGAAGAAAAGGCAAAAGATGAGCAGTGAGTAACACCACACTGATGTTGTTCTCATACAGCACTCTGAAGCAACCCAACTGAAGAATATTTTTCACATTAGTACCTGCAGAATGAGTATTTGCAGGCAAATAAAGAACAGAGACATGTATGAAAGAACCATCCAGTTCTCAGTTCTCTCCTTAACTCTTTTACCACATGCTCTCAGTTAATTGGAAATGCCATACAAGAGTTCTCAATTTAAGAAAAAATCTATTTCTGTGTCATTTCACAGTTTTCAGTTCAGTTTTCTTGACAGAACAAGGGATGAACCTTCGTTTATCCTTTTTTTTTCTACATTGATGACCTTATGAGAACAAGGATTCAGTGGTTCCCTTAACAATTCCAGACAGTTCACCCATCTAGTTAAAAAATGGAATCTCCATCTCCAACAATCTTTCACATCTCCCAAAGCCCAAAAATGTCTAGGATCCAACAGTTGTCTGGAACTGTTCATACAGCACAGTTTTAATCTCCACTACACAACACATTGCCTACCCATCATTTGTCACCACCTGCTAGCCATACCCTCCAAATGGAACAACACTCCATGAATCATTATAGCATTGAATGAAATTTTCAGCATCTCATCTTAGAGTTAAAAAAAAAAAAATCACATTTTAAATGAAGGAGATTGAAAATTAGAAGAAATATTGTACAAATTATATCACCTCTTCACATATGGACAGCATGTGAAGCAAAGGAACTCCTGACATTGAGTGATTTTTTTAGCAATTAATACCCACAACCTCTGCAGTTAAACTTTAAAAGAAAGGATTTATAAATTAGACATGTTACATTAAACAGGGTTTAAACTAAAACTCCTCTTCACGATGTTTGTTTTTGCATATTGGGTGACATTTTCAAAAACACTTTGTCTCCCCTTGGAAACCAACAGGCATAGACTTCAGTTCACTTTAGCTTTACACCTCCTACCATGGAAATAGGATGTACAAATGATTCTGTGGGTCGGGTAACATCTAGGAAGTAAACTCCAGTACCTTTAAAAGCACAACATATTCTAAATAAAAATAAATCCAGAACATAACCTACCTTCTATTCACTTTCTTGATCTTTTTGTTAGTACTGTCCTGACTAATTACACCTAGAAATATCAGTTCAATGTTGCTGAAGCTTAGAAAGACGCCAGGCCTTTAAAAGCATTCCAGAACCGTCCGGATGCCATCCTGTGCCACGTGCTCTAGGATGCCCCTGCTTGAGTAGGGAGGTTGAACCACAGAGCCCACCGTGATTCTGTGATTCCTTAAATACTCCCAGGGTAGTATTTAAGCATGCACAGTTAAAGCAACAGGAGGAAGCCAGCAGAAGCCTGTCCACTAAGTAGACCTTTACCCAACGTCCAGGTGGTAAAACACGATCTACTGACCCACAGAGGGGTCTACTCACCCAGGCAAATTCTTCATACCGACTCTTGGCTATACTCTATCAGTTTGCTATCACTGCCCCACCTCACTAAAAAAGGTGTCTTTACCCTCCTCTGCCACCGCATCTCATTCAAAGCCTCCCCGGCACCCAACCACCCACCTCTCACACCAGGTCCAAACCCGAGCTCCTCAGTCCTTCCCGCAAGGCTTTCTCGCAAGGAGGCTGTCACGACAGGGAGCGAGCACAGGTAGCTGTGCCCAGCCCTGCTGGCACTCAGACGCGTCCCCAGGGACCCCAGCGCGTCCCGCCCCCGCCGTCCCGCCCCGGGCCCCGGTACCGTGCTGGCAGCGCTCGCCCTCGTAGCCCTTGGAGCAGAGGCAGGTGCCGTTGCCGAGGCAGAGCCCGCCGTGCCGGCAGCGGGGGCTGCAGGCGGCCGGGCCGGGCCCTGAGGGCAGGGCTGCCCCGCGGCACAGCGGGCACAGCGCGCACAGCGCCAGCCAGAGCAGCGGGCGGGGCAGCCCCGTCCCGCCGCCCTCTCGCCGCGACATGGCCCGGGCGAGCGGCCGCCAGCTCGGGCAGCTCGTCCCGCTCCGCTCCCCGCCCCTCGGCCGCCAACTCTCCGCTCGCTCCCCTCTCAGCCCCGCTCCCTCACGCTCCCCTCGCTTTTACCCTCTCCGTTCGTTCCCACTCCTCCTCCTCCTCCCCCTCCTCCTCCTCAGCTCCAGCCTCCCCCCGCCCCGCCGCCCCCCGCGCCGTATCAGGGCGGGTGGGAGCCCCCCGAGTGCCCGTGACCCCAGCGGGGCACCGTGCGGGCAGCGCCGGGAGTGCGCGCAGGAAACCGACCCTGCACAAGAGAAAGCTCAAGGAGGACCTTAGCGCTCCCTGCGACCTGGTTGTAGCCAGGTGGGGAGTGCACTCGTCTCCCAGGCAACCAGGACAGGACGAGAGGACAGTCTTGAGCTGCACCATGGGAGGTTTAGGTTGGGCATTAGGAAGCATTTCTTCACAAAAGGGGTGGATAGACATTGGAATGGTCTGGCAGGGAGGGGGTGGAGGTGTTAAGGAGAGACTGGATGTGGCACTTAGTGCCATGTTCTAGTTGACATGGTGGTGTTCGATCCTAGGTTGGACTCAAATGATCTCAGAGGTCTTTTCCAACCTAACTAATTCTGTCTGCAGGTGCAGAAGCCTCTGTCAGTAGAGGACCAGCCACCAGGTGGTCACACCATACGTCGGGCAAGAAGCCCACCTTAGCACCTGGCCTGGCGGCGCACCCACCAGTTGCTGGCCCTGCCACCCGCTTCTGGGACAGCACAGCTCTGACCTCTGACCCCTTCCGGGCCTTACAGGCTCTCCGATTTCTATTCACTTCCACCTTTAAAGGTGCCATGTGTGAATATCGTGACACAATATTCGAAGGGTGATTTGAGAGAGAGTGACGTACTGAACTCACTGTCACCTTGCAGATGAGAGGAATTAGGGTTTTATAGAATCATAGAATGGCTTGGGTTGGAGAGGACCTTAACATTATCGAGTTCCAACCCCCTGCCATGAGCAGGGACACCTTTCACTTCACCAGGTTGCTTCTATCCCCCATCCAGGGATGGGACATCCACAGCTTCTCTGAGCAAACTGTGCCAGTGCCTCATCACCCTCACAGTAAATAATTTCTTCCTTATATCTTATCTAAATGTACTCTTTTTCAGTTTGAAGACTTTCCCCCATATCTTGTCACTCCATGTCATTGTCATAAGTCCCTCTCTAGCTCTCTTGTGGGCCCTTTAGGTACTGTAGATGCCCTAAGTTCATCCCAGACCATTCTCTTCTCCAGGATGAACAGCCCCAGCTCTCTCAGACTGGCTTTACGGAAGAGGTAACCCAGCCCTCTGAGCATATTCATTGCTCTCCTCTGGACTTGCTCCTTGTCATGCTGTCTCTGGATAGGGCTTGAATACAATTCTGTGACAAAGAAAATAGCTATATATTTCAGTTTGATCATGAAAATATTTTTAGTTGCAAAGAACACAAACACAGATGATCAGGAAATACTTTTTTTCTTATTATTTCCCATATTTCACAAGCATTTCCTATAATTTTAAAAGTTTCCCAGAGAAAATACACTTTCAGCACCAAGACAGAGCCCAGTGGAGTGTTTTCAGAAGAGTCTGATTGATTAGTAGTGAAAATGGGAGATTATAAGCACCAATACAAAGTGTCCACAGAAAAAGTAAAATAAACCTCATGCCTTTTGAAAAAACTAAGGGAAAAACAAGTCTGTTTTCAACAGTGAGAGCTGACTTTGAGTTACTTTTGCAAATGGCACAGAACAGCTTAATTTGTTTTCTAGATGAAGCAGCAGTATGATTTGGTAAATACACTCACTTTGACTGGAAATAAAAATATATGCAATTGCCTTGTAATTGATAGAATAAAAGGCAAAGGTACTTCTGGTGTAAAACTGGTTTTAATCCCTTTTCATACCTACAGAGTGTGGAACATAGAATTCATAGAGGGAGTGGAATACAAGGCAAAACCCGCTACTTGATAGCATGAGGTGTTGTCTGCCTTCTTGTAAGGTTAAGATACGTATAACATGATCTTTGCAAGATGCATTCAGACTTTCAAGTAGCATAGTACCACTAAATAATTAAAACAAGAGTAGCCTAGGAGTGCAATACTAAATATTAAACTCAAACACACAATTGCTCTCTTTCTTGTGCCTAGGCAACCAAAGCAACATTTAGATGATACATACATACAATTACATTCATCCTATGCAAACCCCCATCGCAAATATTCTTTCATGTAGTACTAATGCTGCAAAAAAAAAGTAGTGATCTCATTACTCATGCACAAGTTTCCGTAGTGTGTTTATTTGCTATCTAGAGTAACAATATACGAGTCCCATTCTTATTGCAGTTCCAGTTGTGGTGGGGAGAACAGCATCTCCTGGTTTTGCACACAGTATTCCCTCTTGCAAGTGACAGGGTAATAGGATATTGCAGTGAGAATACTTCTGGTAAAACTACTTGCCAGAAATATATTGCAGAATAAATTCTTCCTAAAAGGAATAGCTTTCTTTATGCCACCCCCACAAGAGCAAAAGGAAGAAAGAAAAGAAGATGCTGACTCTGGGCTGTATTGTTCTCTGGATACATGGTAATTTTGCACTTCCTTGACTTCTGCCAATAATTTTGACCGCACTGAGCTCTTCACAGAATTATTTTTTCTATTTCTGTATTTTATTCATAAAATGGTTTAATGTGGAAGTGTGCCTTTCTGATATTAATGACTAGCAACAATTTGTTCATACAGAATTCTTTCCAGGTTTTAACAGCTATTCTTCATTATTCATATAGAGAGTCTGATTTGTAAAGTACTGTTTATTTTCAGTCCCATATCCCAGCTTCTCTATTCCAAAAAGATGATTTCTGGGGGCTAAGGCTAATTAAAAGCCTCCTTTTTTATTTTTCTCCAGGTTTCCTTTGAGGATCTTAAAATAATTAATACTAAAGAAAATAATCATATTTGAAATATGGCAAGTGCCCCTTCAGCAGGGATAATTAAATGCAAAGACTATATTAAATAAACTTGCCCAGGTGTTTCACTGAATGAAGTAAATTTGTTTAAACATTGTCTTCTGTAGGAAGGATTAGATTGCTTCACCATCTTTGTGCATCTAAATTCATCTCAGGGCTTATCAAATTTGCTGAGTGCATGTCTGCATTTACAAGGGATTGAGTCATGTTAACAGAGGTTCTCAATGAAAACTGAAATGGTTCCAGGCATCCAGCATGCTTAGCTGTAGAAGCAAAATAATTAAGAAAGACAGCAGTTAATGAAGTTGCTAAGTAGAGAGTTAGACAAAGAGTTCATGTTCGTTCATTCACATCATAATGGCCATATTTGATACTTCATTTCTAACTAAAACCAAAATAAAGCAGTTTTAGAAGGCTCATTTTTGCTTATTTGAGTGGTAGAAGATGGAGTGCCAACATCCTCCCGCTATGCTGGCTAGCTGTATCACAACAATATGTAATAGCCTCTTGAGGGGCACTGCTGCCCAGTCCAGAGAATAAGACAGAAGAAAATGAAATGAACTCTGAATTATAACCAGAGTTAAGGTAGTCTATAAGGTGGTTTGCTGTGGCAGTAAGGATGCTCACCTGGAGTCTGGGATTCTGCTCCATGTAAGGCAAAGCAGGTACAACAACCCTATGGGAATTCCCCACTTCTGGCCAGCCTAGACCATGTGCATGTGTCTCTTGCCTATTTCAAAGACTTTTATTTTGTTACAGTATGAAAAATACTCGAGACGTATAAGCTCAGATGCCATGGGAATTTATTAGTTGGACAGCTGTAATACAGCACAACCTGCTCTCAATAGTAGTCACTTGTAAGATAACAATAAGCCTGGAAATAGGGATACAAAATCCCAGAGGGTGCTTGTGCAGTGGTGATACACAGCAATCTAACAAAATGTCAGTATCCCATTAACCAACTAGATTTACTGGGGTGGGAGATAATGTTAGGAGGTCTATCATACAGCTAAGCTCTTTCCTAGACCTGTGTATGATGTGCAGTCCCAAGCTCTGGCACAATCATCACTGCACTGTCCACATAAATAATGTGTCATTCAGAGCTGATGCTTTGTTTATCAGTGTAACTTCACAGGTAGCAACCACATTTATAAGTACTTTTCAGCATAATTTAGTCTCCATTCTACCATGTGTAGGTGAGCCATTAGGTAATGGTACAGTTAAGTAGCATTGATCACAGCTGTGTCTTAATTCAAGTCCACGTCAAGGCTGTCAGATAATAGGGACTTATGACCAACATCAGTCTTCTTTGTTGACAGCTTGAATACTGATTTGTCTTCCAGTGGAATTGGGCTATGGTGGCATTTGAATGAAAGTCTGCTAAAAGAAGGAAAATGATATATGGGTTTATTTTCAAACATGCCCCTGTGTGAATTAGGTGAGCAGAAATATTATACATGTATGGGCTGTGTACAAATATTCATCCACAACTGCCATGCATGTCTCTTGTTGATGTCCAAAATTAAGGGCCTCTATGGATTGCAGGTACAAATTGTCCCCATTAGTGCACCTAGCCCCAGTTCCATAATACGAAACCATATTTTAATTTATATGAAACAGATATATTAATCAAAAGGATGCCAGCCCTGTATGCAACTTCAAAACCATTATTCTAATAAGTAATTTTCTTCACATAACAGCAAAGTCTTAATACATGGTCTTTAGTCAACAAGACTGATGTGCACTGAAGTTTTTGTTCACAGATTTATCTTGCTTACTAGATAGAAACATGAAAATGGTATATGTTAGTTACATATTTCAGAATTAACACTTTAGTCATTGCAATTAGTTGTAAATCTCTCAGACTGTCACCTTATATAGGCATTTGCAATTAGAGTGCAGAATAAATCTGTGCCTGGGGACTCTGGGTATCCCAAAGCAATACGAGTATTGTCAAATGACCAGCCAGGATCACTAGGAACCAGTTTAGCTCTGTTTGAAGCTTTGTTTTATGCAAGTCAAGATCACACAGTAACTATTCCCTGGATGCAA